AAGAATTAGCATGATTCACTCTGCGTTTGACTTCTAAGTAAACAAGAATCACTTTATTCATTCAGAGGATGGAGACAGGAGCGGTCCCACAGACAGTCATGACCCCTCCCCTCTGCATGTTATGTTGCGCGAAATGTCTTCATTGTTGCTATATGACCTTTTGCGTTTTAAAGCTCCAAACTGCTTTTCGCACCTGCCGCCTGGAGCTGAGGAGGCTGCATTGACTTGCTGGAAGACTTTTCTCCATCCTGAAGGAGATCACTTCACCCTCATCAACATTTACAAGGCCTACCAAGACACAACTCTGAATGCTGCCAGTGAGCGTAAGTGAATGTCCGGAAATGACCTACTCGTTCCCCCTTCCTTTCCCCAAACAAGGTTAAGTTCTTGGGAGTCACTCATCAAACACTTCTCCAGCCCCACTGGCCACGTGAATGTGAAGGCACTCCCGGCCCCAGCGTGCCCGTAGGTCCCTGAGGCGCAGGGCGCGCTCCTCCCGCTCCACTGTGGCGTGCTGCCACGGCTCGCCGGCATCTCCAGAGCCAGCTCTCTGCTCAGTCATCCTTCACCGTAGCTTCTTGGGCATGAGCACAGGAGAACGCAGGAGAACAGCTCTGTACTTTGTGCCATGTGGGCCTGAGGAGGAAGACAAGGCACGGATATTTTACATGCCTGCTGGATCCGAGTTGTATTGTGCGCCTTCCGTGTCACAGCACATTTACTACCCACCCGAGAGATTCCAGGACTTAACACCTGTGCAGAACAGACTAGTGCGGGAGGGTAGGCTGCAGAGAGAGCAGAGGATGTCCAAAAAGCAGGATGGTGTGTGTCGAAGCATCGCGGCAAGTCCTGTGTCTTGTGAAGGACTGTCACAGCAGGGTGCCCGGTGGGAAGCAAACAGGAAGCTCCTGTGCAGTCAGAGACCAGAGAGTCTCCAGGACAGAGGGCAGAGCAATGTGGCAGACGACAGAGCTGCCCGAGGAGGGCAGCCAGCAGTCCTTCCTAAAAGGAAGATTTTTCTCACCTCTGTCTTCCATGAAGTATCTTTTGCTCTGAAGGATGGTGTGAAAAATATCTGAAGTGACATGGAAAATATGACAGCAATTTGAAAGGCAGTGGAATCGTATAAAGAGCAAGGAGTTAGTGTTTCAAAACTAAGAAAAAGTTGTCAGAGGAGCCAGAAAGTACAAGGGAATTTGGTGGCATCTTGTGAGAACATGCAGAATGGGTAGACTTGTTGATCCAAGAGGGCCTAAGTGAATAGCAGAGTTAAACAAGAGTCTTCTGCCCACTGCCAAGGCCATGTGCGTTCCCAAGTCCATCTTAAGTAATTACAGATGGCAAGAAAGAATAACTTCAAACTGAACAGGTACCTGAATCGTGATACAAAAGTTGCAGCCAGGGTAGAGAGATGAGCTTAACTATAACATAACTCCCAAGTCAGTCTAGTAATAATCCTTTTCTTATCATTAAATATGAGATATTCTGAGATCAGAGGAATTTATATTGGAGGCTTTTTTCTGCCAAGTTTGATTAAATGGACCCACGAACATGAGCCAAAATGTAGACCTTACACAATTGTCTCTACCCCTTATGAGCTACAGATCAAGACAGAGACACCTTCAGTCAGCATTAGAGTTTCCACAGTTAGCTGGAATCACGGAACCTCAGTAGGCGAGGTGGGTGGTGTCAGTGGCACCACACCCCTTCCTGGCAGTGCCCTAGACAGCTGACATTACAGCCACCAGAGATCCTTATCTGTGCTGCCTTCCTACGGCTCGCTTACGTGGCCTTTTCAGGAGCGGAGCATGTACAGCATCTTCTTAGCCGGCACCTTCTGGGCTCTGTAGAGCTGATGACAGCTCGTTTGTAAATAGCCTTGTGCTCTTCTTCCTCCTAGACTGTGTTGAAAAGTGGTGTCACGATTACTTCCTCAACTGTTCTGCACTCAGGATGGCAGATGTTATCCGAGCTGAACTCTTAGAAATTATCAAGCGAATTGAGCTTCCTTATGCAGAGCCTGCGTTTGGCTCCCAGGAAAACACTCTCAACATAAAGAAAGCTCTTCTGTCCGGCTACTTTATGCAGGTAAAAAGGAGAGGGCTGCCTTGGCATAGGCTTCCCTGCATTCCACACATTCGGGACATTCTGTCAGGAATCTCTCACTCAGGGAGATGGCTGTATTGATGTTAACGTTAAATAAAACTGAAAATCCATGTCTGGTATTTAAATAAAGACTTGCTATTTAAATACACTTCCTCTCAAGGGAATAAAAGGCCAGGCCAGAATATGTTAACTTTGTCCAAAAGGACAAAAAATCTTCTTCATTACAGAAAGGAAGCAAAGCATCAGATATAGTCTCTCATCTCACCTGTTTGTGAACAGCTCGATTTAACTGGCGATACTGACGACCAGCAAATAAAAGTACTGTACTGTCTCATTTGTTTCTTCTCCAAAGGAAAAGCTGGCTAATGTAGCTCCTTTAAAGTAACGCATATTACAGAAGTAGGTATGCTCTTCACATCACAGGATGAGAAGTATTGCAGTTTTCTGCAAAAACTCTAAAGTAGTCTTAATGGAGAAAAAAGACATTTCAGCATAGATTAGCTTATATGTAAATAAAGCTTCTTACATCACAGGGTTATTTGTGAGCTAAACATCAAGTATAAAGAGCTTGCCATGTAAGTGTATGTCAGCTACAGTATGGCAGGTAATGTGCTAAGCTGTATTTCGTGACCAAACTTAACCTTACAGCTACATTGTTCTAGCAGAGTTAGTTAGCATCACTGTCTCAAAGTTTTGGAACACCATGTTTATAAGGCTTATTTTCTACATCTGAAAATAGAAACATGGGTGGCAATTTTTAGTTTTAACAAAACGGTATGAAATACCTTGGAATGTTTTCAACAAACGTGTTTGCCTACTGTCTCCCTATTAACGCAAACCCTTTTTTCTTTAAAACTCTGCCTTTTAGATTGCTCGGGATGTTGATGGATCAGGTAACTACTTAATGCTGACACATAAGCAAGTTGCTCAGCTGCATCCCCTGTCTAGTTACTCCATCACCAAGAAGATGCCAGAGTGGGTCCTCTTCCATAAATTCAGCATATCTGAGAACAACTACATCAGGATTACCTCAGAAATCTCTCCTGAACTGTAAGTTCAATGGAGGAGAAAGGGGTTTCTTTTGAATTCACACTTGTAAGGATAAATGACAAATACGGCTTTTATTACATTTTCTGGTATAGACATTTATACTAGTACCCATTTTAATTCATATCAAGAATATCAACTAAGGGCAGGTCCCTGTGGCTGATACCTAAGAAACGTCCCTGCCAGTGAGATTACAGCATGAAGAGAAGATGGTGGAAAAAAGAAAAACAAAGTACCATGTATATCTTTTGAAGCTGGTGGTCTCACTGTTGCCCAGGCTGGAGTGCAGTGGCATGATCACGGCTACCACAGCCTCGACCTGCAGGACTCAGATGACCCTCCCACCTCAGCCTTCCAAGGAGTTGGGACTACAGGCTTGCACCACCACACCCAGCTAATTTTTTGGTTTATTGCAGAGACAAGGTCTCACCATGCTGCTCAGGCTGGCCTCGAACCCTTGGGCTCAGGCAATCCTCTTGCCTTTGCCTCCAAAAGTGCTAGGATCACAAGTGTGAACCACTGTGCCCAGCCCAACACTGTCTTTAAGAGGAACAGAATGCTCGAGAAAAGCACCGTTTGCAGGTGTGCCCACCTTGAGGCGCAATGAGCTTAGCCAGCTTTCCGAACAGAGGAGCTATCGCAACTGAAGCTGGTGGGGAAGGGAAAGGAGGGGAGGTTGGAGAGAGGCAGGCACTAGAGGGTGCAGGGTTTTGTGGGTTGCATGGAGTTCGGATTGTATCCTAAGTGCAGTACACAGCAAGTGGAGCATTTTAAGCAAGAGCAACATCTTCGGCCGGGCTCGGTGGCCCAGCCTGTAATCCCAGCACTTTGGGAGGCCGAGACGAGTGGATGGCCTGAGCCGCAGGTTCGAGACCCACCCGGACAACTTGGCAGATCTCATCTCTACAATAAATCAAAAAATTAGCCGGGCGTGGTAGCGTGCCTGTAGGTCCGGCTACTTGGAAGGCAGAGGCGGAAGGATCGCCGGAGCCCAGCAGGTCGAGGCTGCGGTGGCCGGGAGCGGCCACTGCCCTCCAGTCTGGGCAACAGAGTGAGACTCCAACTCAAAAAAAGAATAACATCTTCTCTGTATAGCTTTAAAGATCACTCTAGCTGCTGAGTGGAGAAGAGAAAGGAGGGGCGATAGCAAGAATGGGACCTGGTCTCCCAGAGGCTCCTGCAGATTCTGGATCCCTCCTGAAGATGCCGCTACTCCTTGGGCAAAGTGATGTTCCAGGCAGCCGCCAAGAGGAACTCATAGGTGCCCGGCTTAAGCAGCTGGATGGGGCGTGGTACTGGACAGACAAAAACAAAGACAGAGGGGGTCTCTCATCCACCCAGAGCTCTCCTGAGCATGTGCTCTCGTGCTTCTCACGTGGCCACGGGCCTCAGGGGAAGTGCTCGTTTCAGTGAGATACTGAGGAGTTCAAACTAAGTGCCAGTTCTATATGTAGATTCTCCAGGGCTGGGAGGTGCCCAGACATGATGTTTGGTGTCTTGCCACCCCTCCCCCAACCAAAATCCAATCTTTTTGTTTTCAACAGGTTTGTGCAACTGGCACCACAGTACTATTTCAGTAATCTGCCTTCTAGTGAAAGTAAAGATATTCTACAGCAAGTAATGGATCACCTATCCCCTATTTCAGCAATGAACAAGGAACAGAAAATATGTGAGAAGTGCCCTGAAACTACTGAACAGAGATGCACTGTACAGTGACCCCCCACGAAACACAAGGTGCAGGGGGGTCCCAAAGTTAGCCAGATGGCCAGCCTACTGGAGTGATGTGCAGATATTTAACGCAAAGACAGATATCACACCCCACAAGATAGTCTTGAAAAAACACTTTGTATATTATTTTAAAATAAAAAATAGAAGTTTTTATTGTGTTGTTTAAATTAATACTCCGTGTTTTTCTTCTTCTCGGAAAAGTTTTTAATCAATCATTCATAATTTGACCAGTTTTAAAAAACATATTTTGTAAATGTGTCACAGACACATGGAACAGAATCCTACTTTTTGTAGAGGACCTTAATCTGAATAAAGTTATGAGTTTTTCAGTAAATCTCCACTGAGTTTCTTAATAACTTGACAAAAGCAGGCCAATCACTGCCCAAGGGAAATGAGTTAAACAGACAGATGTTCTTTCAGTTTATCTGTGATTTCATTCATCTTGTCACCTGGAATTACCATCACAGTTCGCAAGGGCTTCATTGGTGCATCATCAAAAGACCATCTGCCTCCCAGACAAGTGTCGGTCTCCTCCTGCACTGAGTAGTTGAACTTCAGGATTGCCTTCTAAACCAAATAAGTAGCCATTAATTAAAAATTCGGATAGTCCAAAGACAAAACTCATTTCATCTACCACAAAGAATATTATGTTGGGCATGTGTTTAAATAAGAATGACAGCTAAAGGAAGCAAAACTCAGAATAAAATAAGCTCAAATGGGACATTTAAGCAGAAGTTATAAAATGCTTAGCAAGCAGGTTTTTAACCTACACGAGGAACATGTTTAGTGGTGAGCCATGTCTAAGAGGTGAACAAGAAGCTAAGTGATATAAATCTCATTTAGTTGTCAAAATAATCTTATAACAGACAAGTGAAATTAAGACTGTGATAATTAACAAGAACTGGTCTTCAAACGCTGGTCTTTTCTCACTTTCTAAACTGCTTAAGGCTGTTGTGTGAACATAGAGTAAGCTTGCATAACCAGGCCCTCTTAAAACACCCATATATACTTTCCCGGTCTACCTGAGGTGCTGAGGAATAATTAAAAAAAAATTTTTTTTACTATTTATTTCCTAGAAAACAAGGGCAGAGCTGAGTCTGTAGTGCTTGAATCTTTGGTGGAATGTGCTAAAGGTAACATGATATCATCCAGTTCAGGAAAATATGTGCCCCCTCAGATTTACTTCAAGATTTCTGAGAGGATGACAGTGTGAGAGAATATCCTCTGGTATTTGGTTGTCCATCACAATACAAGCCACCTTCATAGGAAGAAAATGCTAGAAGTTCCACAAGCGGGATGACAGTCACGACCCAGAGTGGAGCCGCAGGGGTGCCCCAGCTTCCACGCCAACTGGCTGTGTGACCTCAGATAACTTCCTTCTTCCTCAGACTCAATGTCCACATCTGTAAACCCAAGCTCATGTCTACTCGCAGCTTGGCTTTATAATAAAAGATCTCACAAGCAGCACAGGTAAAAGCCGAACCATTCTCATCCAGTTAACTGTTCTTCTCTCCCTCCCCACACAAAGAACCAACAGTGGGGTGGGAACCTGTGGCCAGCCTTCTGCGTATCTACTGTGCCAGGCACTCTGTTAGCTCCTAGCTCTTAAGGACACAGAGAAGAATAGAGTGTCTCCACTTGAAGGACTTTGACATAAAGTGGGGGAACAATACATTTTGATTATTCTCAAGAAAATCCTTATTTACATGTAAACAAAAAGATGAAACAGGACAGTCTTACCTCATAGAAAAATTCTTCCTCTGCATTTGCAAACATTAACTCATCTTTCTTTTGGTTGCTCCATTTCTTTTTGGAATTGGTTTTTCCTGCTTCCACAAATGTCTTACTAATCAGAAGATAAAAGTGGCACTTTCCACATGGCTTATTAGTTTTGTGTGCATCTGCTAGTTCTTTCCTACAAGGCACACACACAGAACAATTACCATCTGGGTCAAGTGAAACCCATCAACAAACCGAGCACAGAGAAAACCAGCACAGAGAAAACCAGCGAGGCATCTTCGGTGGTTCTGCTGTGACACAGGCTTACTGAACATTCTCTAGATACTTCTAAAGCAATTTTTACTTAAGCTGTCTTATGTACTTTAGATGGATTATGTACTGCTTCTTATAATAGTATGATGCATCTCTCAGATTATGTGCCAAGTTGTAGATATACAGCAACTAACAGATGGGTCTCAAATCTACTCAATGTAACATCTCTGCTCTACCTGTGCAGAAGTTTAAAATTTATAAAAATTAAGCCGAGCGTGGTGGCTCACACCTATAACCCCAGCACTTTGGGAGGCCAAGGTAAGAGGACTGCCTGAGCCCATGAGTTTGAGACTAGCCTGGGCAACTTGGTGAGACCTCATCTCTACAATAAATCAAAAAATTAGCTGGGCGTGGTGGCATGTTCCTGTAGTTCCAGCAACTTGAAGGATTGCCTGAGCCCAGCAGGTTGAGGCTGCGGTGGCTGGGTGCGTGTCACTGCTCTCCATCCTGGGTGACAAAGTGAGACTTCTACTCAAAAAAAATTATATTAAATATATATATATTTTTTTCATTTTTTTAAAGCAATGAACAATCTAACTGAAACACACAAAGGCATACAGCCACAACCAATGTCATTACAGTATGTGACTACTACAGCCTCTAATTGCTAAAGTCTGGAACTAATTTCTGACATACTGCCAGACTGCATAGACACAGGTACCCTAAATTCTAGAAGAGTCAATGGAATGGCAATGAAGCCTTATTTTTTCCTTCTGAAAATTAAACATATCCCTGTGCATCTGGTTGCCCTGAACAAAACGTAAAAAAGCCCAGAAGAACCCACTTCGGCTTTCCTTTTCTTTCTTCCCAAGAGACAGGGTCTCATGATGTTGCCCAGGTTAAAGTGCAGTGGCTATTCACAGGCACAATCATAGCACACTGCAGCCTCAAACTACTGCCTCGGTAGTGGCGCTCCTGCCTCAGCCTCCCTGGTAGCTGGGACTACAGACGCACACCACTGCACTTGGCTTTCTTTTAACAGAGGATCAGGAGAATGCTGATCCCTCTCATGTAAACCCAAACAACTGTGAGCTCCAACTGAGCAGGAGAACACAAGAAAAACCTAAAGACGCTTAGACGCACCAGAAGTATAATCTAGCAGCTGAGAGGAACACGGGAGAGGGAGATTTTTAAAATGCACTGAAATCCATAAAGGAAAAACAACAAACCTAAAGGTTTCCAGAATGTAGTTCTATTCCCACAACTAATTAAAGGCAAGCCACAACACAAGTGCTACAACCTCTGAGAAATAATATTCTGTAAAGAGCCCATCTACCGTTGTCCTCTGTTTCAAAGCACAAGGAATACAATTCTTAGCTCAATCAATATGCTAGAAGATGTCACAGCTCTTCTTGTATTTACAATACTGGTGTCAATGTAAAACTCCTTCATTAAACAAAACAAAAACCTCGAAAAGGTAAAGACGGTATCAGGTTTCATCCGTTATAAAGCATACTGAGGGAATTGAAGAATTTTACTGGTTTTGTTATTGTTATAACTGTTCAGCGTTTAATCTGTGACAGAAATCTATGTGAAGGTGAAATACTTCAATCAAATAAGGGTGAAGAGTATATATGAAATTCATCTACTTTTCGACCATTTAAATCTGTAAGATTATTGTCACAAATAATCAAAACTCTTTAAAAAGCCAATTATTTCAATATGTAACTCCTACGATATTTCTTCCACTCTTCTCACACTAAACTTGTGAAACCAAGGACAGAACTCTTTCTATACCTACAAATTCTACTCAAATCACATTTCTAAATCTACTTGGAAAAAAGTTCCTCTGCAGAGACATTTCCTCGGGTCTCTTACTGAAGTTGCTGGTGCATGGGCAGAGCAATCTGTGGAGGCACGTTAATGAATCTTTCACTTAGCAGAAGGCCCACAGGCTTGGTGGTGTCATCCAGAAGCTTGTCCAGCTGTTCAACCATGCTCTTTTCACAGTTCTTCTCACAGCCACTCAGAATCAACTCTTTAATCTGTTCAGCACACTGGGTGCCCTAGAGAGCAAAGAGAAGGTTTTTATTACTTATAGGAGAAAACTTGAAAGTGAGAGCTACCACTTTTTATCTTACAGGCAGGAGCAGTTTGCTGCAATAGCCTTTAAAATCCTGTATGCCTTCAGTATTGACTGCTTAAGTATTCCTCAAAAGCAACTACACCCGGTTATTTCCCAACCCATGATCAACGATAAGAGAAGGGCATAAGTAACACTCAGACACACTGGAACAGCAATTCTAGTCTATCTCATAAAGACCCATGGAAGAATTGAAGATTAAGAGTAGCCTTTGGGAGGTGGAGGCAAGAGGATTACCTGAGCCCATGGGTTTGAGACCAGCCCAGGCAACTTGGCGCGACCTCGTCTCTACAATAAGTCAAAAAATTAGCCGAGCTTGGTGGCACACGCCTGTGGTTCCATGAGCATGCCACGGTACTCCAGCCTGGGTGACAGAGTGAGACTCCAACTCAAAAAAAAAAAAAAAAATTACGTGCATTCATGAAATCTTATTGTAATCCTTTTTCAATATGAAGGTATTGTTGTTTTGAATAGCCTGTACCCAGTTAAAGTCATTTACTCCCTGTGGTTCAGAGAATCACCTGGGTTTGCAGTCACTGGTGTTCCAATGCTGGGACTGATGCAGCAGCTGTTTTATGCTGCCTTTGCCACTGTTATTTGTGCTACTTGTGGATAATCTGAGACTGCTGCTGCCTTGACCTGCTGGATTCAAGTGATCCTTCCACCTCAGCCTTCCAAGTAGCTGGAACTACAGGTATGCGCCACCATGTCCTGCTCATTTTCTGATTTATTATTGCAGAAATGAAGTCTCACACATTTTCTCAGGCTGGTCTTGAACCTCTGGGCTCAGGCAATCCTCTCGCCTTGGCCTCCCAAAATACTGGGATTGCAGGCGCGAGCCACTGCACTCGGTGAAAGCACGTATCCCTATAGTTAAAATCATCTTCTGCATTAAGTAAAAGTGGTTTCGGCTTAAGGAATAACCGCTCAGGTGCCACCCAATGAAACCAACCTTTCTTTCCGTTAAATTTAAAAGGCTTATGAAACCAAAAATCTCATCTTCATCAACATCGTCATCGCCGTCCTCTGAAACATCCGTTTGCTATGTTAGAAAGAAAAAAGGATTTGAATGTAACATTTAGGTGAGGCAGAAGCATAGTGCCAAGTCTTAGAATCTAGGCCTTTCTTCAAAAGTAAAACTTGGTTCTGCTACCATCGTCTCAGAAGCATATTCGATCCCAAACACTGCGTGACCTTGCTCTTTTCACTGTATCGCCATGGACTCCGTTCCTCGTTTTGCATTCTGGTTGGTCTCATCCCAATCTAAGTTTCTGCATGCTAGATCCTTAAGTCATTTTCCTTTACCAAATTTCTGTTTTCTATACAGTCTGGCTGGAGGCAGCCCTTGCTTATTTCTCTGCTGACCCCAACACTGTTTCACCTAAAACTCATGCTTCTAGAGCACTCGTCAGCCTTGACCATGAGTGGAGCTGCCAATGCTTGCTTGAGGGCCACTTACACCTACCACATGGGCAAGAGAAAAGAAAAAAAAAAGAGCCCCCTTCCCTTTTTTCTCTAGGGACTCTCTTCTACAAAAGAGGCCAAATCTCTCCAATCCCACAGGCTCCAGAGCATGCTCTGGGCAGTCCCTTTACCAGGAAAAAGAAGTCTCTGTCCTCAGAACACCTCAATCGTCTCTGTAGAAGCCAAAGAAGCCGTAATTATAACTGTAGAGCTATTTGTGTGATTATCCATTTCAAGGCAAAATTCCTCCCACTAGACAATAAACTCAAGGACAAAAACAATTGCTTCTGCTACATATCCATTAGGTCTTATAAGACCCTAGACAGCTGGTGATCACATTTATTTGATGAAAGCAGATAGTCTTTTTCCCATTGCCCAAATAAAAGGAAGCTACCATAGGTTTTATTCCTCTCCTTTTCTTTACATTTAGTGCCACAAGGTTACGAACATAAGGTCTGAAATGTGTCCATGGTATTGAGTAACAAAGATATTAGTGACCCTGCCATTCAGTGTCAGAGTTTCAGTGGCATGAAAGTCAGATCAGGGTGCTTAAGGAATGAAGAGGAGGAGAGAAAGTGGAGACCATGAACAGGACTTTTTAAGAATTATGGCTCTGAAGGCGAGGCAGTTAGAGCGGACCATTAGACAGGAAGGGACATGGTTTGTGCCAGACACGGTTCTAAGCACTCGGCAACTTCTTTTCTTCAAGTGCCCACCCAACAAGGCAGACACTAGTATCATCCTCATTTTCACAGATGGAAACGGAAACAGATTAAGGTCACTGTGACATGCTGTATCTTCCACAGACAACTCCGGTGGATCTCCTATCCGACGCTGTTTTCTGACAAAGTGACCGAAACACTCCTGCCACGGAGTGGTGGGATCTATGTGCCCTCCCCTGGGTAGAACTCCGTGTCTGTGCTAACCAAGTGAATGGTGGAAATGACTGTATCATAAAATGCGACGCACTGCTGCCGGCTCTTTTGCACTGCTTACTTTGAGAACCCAACTAGTGTGCAGAGAGGCCCACATGGATAATCATGAGGCCCCTGGTCCAGAGTCCCAGCTGAGCTCCCAACCGACCGCCAGTACGAACTTGCAGGTCAGATGAGGAGCCATCCTGAAAGCACATCCTCCAGGCCTCAGTCGAGCCTTCTCAGCTAATGTGACAGAGCAGGAGCAGAGATGAGTCGTGCTCACTGAGCTCTGTCCAAAGTGTAGGCCTATGAGCCGAAGGAGCGACTGCTGCTATTTTATGATACTAAGCTGTGGGTAGTTTGTTAGGCAGCAGCGGACAACCAGGAGCCACGGAGTGACAAGCTGTGGAGTCCTCATTTTGCTGGACCCTTCTACAGCATCTTTCTGACAGAACAATCTCCTCCCTTCTTGCTCTGTGCGAAGCCCACTCTACTGCTTTTCCTTCTGTCCCTCCAGTCATTCCTTTCGATCTCCTGTGCTGGCTCTGCCACTCATTTTACTTATTACCCAGGTGTCTGTCCCTGCCCTCCCTGGGCAATCCCAACCAGTTCTATGACTTCAGTGATCATTAATCTACTGTAAACTCTCAGATCTCCAGGGCTCCCGTTGCTATTCTGTACCTTGTTTGCCTGTATCACAGGCAACTCAATACAAAATGTGCAGATCCAAACTCACGTTCCCTCTCCTAACCTGATCTGCCTCCATGTTTGCTTTCCTGATCACTTAAGCTAGAAACCTGGGAGTCATCTTTGACTCTTTGTTCCTCTCACTCTCAGCTCCAATCATGCACGAAGCCCCACCACATGTCAATTCCCAAACATCTTCCAAATGAGCCCACTTGTCTTCCTCTTCATTGCCACCACCTGGACTATGGTATGAATAACTCTGGATGACTGCAATGGCCTCCTAACTGACCTCGCTTCCTCCAGTAATACTTCCTTCTAATTTGAGCTGAACAGAATAAAGAACTCAATCAGAATAAACACAAGTGTCCGGCTTACCTTAATCACACTCCCAATATGGTTCTGTTGAATTAAGAGATCTGTTAGTTCTGCAGTGTTCACAGGAGCCTTTAGGAAAAGCTAAAAAAGGAGAAAAACATTATTTTAAATTAAGATCAAGCCGGCGCAGTGGCTCATGCCTATAATCCCAGCACTTTGGGAGGTGGAGGCAAGAGGATTGCCTGAGCCCACGGGTTCGAAACCAACTTGGCAAGACTCGTCTCTACAATAAATCAAAGAATCAGCCAGGCATGGTGGTGCATGCCTGTGGTTCAAACCACTTGGAAGGCAGAGGCGGAAGGCTCGCTTGGGCCCAGCAGGTCGAGGCTGCGGTGGTGGTGAGCATGCCACTGCACTCCAGCCTCGTGACAGAGATTCCAACTCAAAAAAACCAATTAAGATTAAAGCATCATTTCTAATAAAACTTCACATTCCATATTCAAATAAAAATAATGAGCCGGGCTTGGTGGCTCAGCCTGTAATCCTGTGCCTTTGGGAGGCTGAGGTGCGTGGATTGCCTGAGCCCGCAGGTTTGAGACCCTCCTGGACAGGCGAGACCTCATCTCTACAATAAATCAAAAAATCAGCCAGGCATGGTAGTACACGCCTGTAGTTCCAGCTACTTGGAAGGCTGAGGCGGAAGGATCGCCAGAGCCCAGCAGGTCGAGGCTGCGGTGGCTGGGAGCAGCCACTGCATTCCAGTCTGGGCGACAGAGTGAGACTCCATCTCAAAAAAAAAAAAAATGTAACTTCAATGACTTGATGATGACCTGGAAAAGCAATCCCAAGAGGAAAAGGAAAGCACAGGAAGTCAAAGCAGCTAAAGGTTAGGAAATTTCAGAAGAGGCAGCCAGTGGTAACACAGGCACCATAGGAGAGGGGGAGGAAAACAAGGGAGACAAGAGGGAGAAAGATGGATGTAAGGTCAAAAAATTGGTGACAAACACTGGAAGCCATAAAGGCTAGAGAACAAAAGCCACAGTACCTGAGGCAAAGGAATAAGCAGAAGCAGCAAGCATCAGTTTTGTTACCACCAAATGGCACAATTATGTGACTGCTATGTAAGAGTTGTTTTACTTGCCAAAGTTTAGATGCGAATTAAATTAAGTTAATTAAAACAGCAATAGTAGCTCAGTCAATTAGATCAAAAGAAGTGTATTTTAGGACACAGAATACTTAAATATATAAATCAGATAAAGGTTGGATGCGGTGGCTCAAGCCTATAATTCCAGCACTTTGGGAGGCCTGAGTGAGAGGAATGCCTGAGCCCATGGGTTTGAGACCAGTCCGGGCAACTTGGCGAAACCTCATCTCTACAATAAATCAAAAAATTAGCAGTGCATGGTGGCGTGCACCTGCAGTTCCAGCTACTTGGAAGGCTGAGGCCAAAGGATCACCTGAGCCCAGCAGGTCGAGGCTGTAGCGGCTGTGAATGTGCCACTGCACTCCAGCCTCGGCAACAGAGTGAGACTCCAACTCAAAAATCAATCAATCAATCAGATGACGAGATCTGGGAACAGAGGCACAAACAGAGGGGTTAGCCCTGGAACAGAAGAGAAACAATTCCTCTTTCTAGGCAAGGTGGAAAGGATAGAAATGGAAATGCTAAAAGGATGAAATTTGAGAGAAAGCTTGTGTTCAGAATTTTCTTAGAAGAGTAAACATATGTGTAATGAATTAAAGACAATACCTGCTGCAGTAATTTCTTAATTCCGTCATAGTCATTATCTGAGATGGAATAAGCTTCAAATTCAATATTCACTTCCTGTAAATAGCACACAAAATAGGTTGTCATACATAACTTTCTAAGATGATTCAGGCATTATTTTCCACTTTGCAGATTTTTCTTTTCCCTCTCCTTCCATTATTTTAGGTTGTTTTCCCTATCTATTAAATCAAATACAAAAGATGCTAGAAGGAGGATACGAAGAAAAAAATATTACCTGACCCTGTAAAGCAGGCTCAGCCACATTCTGTGAGGAGCAAAACCCAGGGGGTTGGATGGGAATGTTCCTAACAGGACCAGACTAAACTAAACCAAATAACAAACTGCTATTTGGCAAACATTGACAAGATTGCCATCTGTACAGATTACAAAGCACGTTCACATTTCCTCATGTGACACAGAAGCCTGAGAGGAAGAAAACAGAGTGACCCAGTTTAAATGTTGAGAAAGTGTGGACCAGATAAGATAGTCGTGGCGGCCACAAAGGAAAAATTATTACTTACCTGACTGCAAAAAAGAGCGGGCAAAAAGAATCACCTCCAAAGTCCTTGGGACTGCAAGAGCTTGATTTAGCCCACAGATGTGACGCTATGCTTCATTCACTTAGTAAATATTGACTGAGTACCATCCTGGGTACAAAGTGCTATGCCAGGCACTGGAGATGAAATGAAGGGCCAGGCAGACATGGATGATCCTGCTCTCTTGGAGCTTATGGTTTAGGCAGAAATAGACATTAAGGAAATATTCACGGAAATAAATGTAAAGTTGCGACTGCACATGCTCTAAAACAAAGGTATATGGTGTTGTAACAACTTAAGTCAGTCAGGGAAGTCTTCCAAGAAGTGACACTTCAGCAGCGAATTGAGAAAAAGTGAAGAGGGTTCCTAGCACACGGAAGAGCACAAACGAAGGCCCTAAGGCCGGAGGAAATTGGCAGGTGCAAGGGACTAGAAGAAGGTATGTATAGCCGGGCTCCCCAATCTATCTCTGCAAAACAACAACGGAATCCAAAATGCCACTGAAATGCCAAAAACTAAACCTAGATGCTTTTAAATGCTATACAAGATCAGTCCTTGAGGACCCTAAATCATACTCTGATAAAGTGACACACTGAATCTGGGGCTCTGATGAAACAGCATATTTAGATGGACTTTAGGTTTTATTGGTTTTGGAATTTAGGTTATCAGCTGAAGGACATCATGGAGGGAATCAGATCTACTTTTTGCCTCACCATCCTAGCTGGGCATACATTTATGCACCTCCTTAACTGTTAAACTTGCAAGGACCTGGATATCAAGCCTAGCTTGCAGACTTCAAATCCTAACTCTCCAAAGAAGGCTCAGCCAGATCATGTGAGCAGCAAACCCAAGGGGCTGGGTGGGAGTATTCCAAACAGGATCAAAATAAACCAAATAACAAACTGTCATTATTCAGGACTTTTTAAAATATTACTTAGAAACACATACATTCTTTAAATAATGCTCTTCTAGTGTTTTCTTCTAGTCTAGACAGAAGTCTCAGATCTCTGTCCTAAGCTATTAAGGTGCCACCAATGCAAGAGTACCAAACGGGTTACATGTCCAGCACCCCTCTCCCTGAGTATGGATCTCCTCTCTAGGGCTTCAGCCTTCTTTGTAGATGGCTCCTCTACAGCCGTCTTGGTAGAACAGAGTCCTGTCACTCACCCCAGGTGATTCAGAATTAAGACTGTGGCATCTAGCCTTCCTGCTCTTTTGAATGGAAATCTCAAAAGCTGTTGGCATTTTTTATTTTCCGCTGTGTGGAGTAGAAACAGAAAGAAAACTAAATATTGGGAATGTAACGGAAAAGAGTAAAGCGGCGGTGAAAGTCTTCTAGGGTTCTCTATAGCATTCCGGGCTCAGGGCCCCAGCATATTTGAGGCTCAGCTGCTTTCTTGCACTCAAAGGTCTATAAGACAATAGTGGATGCTTATCACAGATTTACCTTTCTACTGAAACTGACCTCCGAGGGCTTCCATTAAACACAAACAGAAATTCTAACCACACGATCACAAGAACTTTAACTAAACAAGCCTATTCCTTTTCTTCTTCTCATTTTCCTCTATTCCCACCTTTCCTTCTTGACGTTCCTGTATCACTTTCTATTGCTGCTTATCCAACTGCCACACATTGTCTTTTAAACCAGGCTCTTGCCAGGTGCGGTGGCTCATGCCTGCAATCCCAGCACTTTGAGAGGCAGAGGCAGGAGGATTGCCTGAGCCCACGGGCTCGAGACCAGCCTGGGCAACATGGCCAGACCTCGTCCCTACAATAAATCAGAAAAACTAGCTGGGTGTGGTGGCGCACAACTGTAGTTGCAGCTATTTGGATCACCTGGCAAAACAACAACGAAGTGGATCACCTGAGCCCAGCAGGTCGAGGCTGCGGTGGCCATGCGGGTGCCACTGCACTCCAGCCTGGGCAACAGAGTGAGACTTCTACTCAAAAGAAACAAACAAACAAAAAACATGCTCTGTAGGACTTTAAACAGCCATGCACATGCACATTTTCTTCTTTACTTATATATACCATTTTGTTTCAAAAAAGATCTGAGGCAGGTTTTGAATTTCCAAAAAAATTCTCATGGATTTCTGCATCAGGGAAAAAGAGTTGTGGATGGGTGACCATCTCAGAAAATAAAAGCCTCCATCAAATAAATAAAGGAATAAATATCTACTAAGTGCTGGGCACGGTGGTTCCCGCCTGTAACAGCACTTTGGGAGGCTGAGGCGAGGGGACTGCCTGAACTCACAGGATCAAGACCAGCCCAGGCAATTTGGCGAGACCTCGTCTCTACAATAAATAAAAAAATTAGCCAGGCAAAGTGGCACACACCTGTAGTTCCAACTGCTTGGAATGCTGAGGTAGAAGGATTGCCTTAGCCCAGCAGGTCAAGGCTGCGGTGGCTGTGAGCATACTCCAGCCTGGGTGACAGAGTGAAACCGCATCCAAAAAAAGAAAAATCTACTAAGTGTTTCAATATAGGGAACTGCCCTCAAAGCCATAACCATTTCCTCAGTCAAAAAAGTCACAAACACCAAAGATTAAAATCTACAGTTAGAAAGTTAAAAAGTCTAGTATAGCATTTTCCAAGTTCAAGTTCTTAGTAAAATGTGTATAAACATATATACCTATACCTATACACATGTGTATATATATATATGTATATATCCATTTGGCTAATGACTGGTCTCGCTGCAATGGTGATCTCATAAGATTATAACAGAGCTATATAATTGAATAGGCTGTACTATCTAGGTTTGTTAAGTATACTCTATGATGTTTGCACAATGATGAAATTGCCTGATGATGCATTTTTCAGAATGTATCTCCATTGTTAAGTGACACGACTGTATTCTGCTCCATTGGTATATCTATCGTTATGTCAGTACTATATTGTTTTGATTTTTAAAAAAACAAAACATTATGGCCAGGCACAGTGGCTCACCCTGCAATCCCAGCAGTTTGGAAGGCCAAGGCAAGAGGACTGCCTGAGCCCAGGGATTCGAGACCGGCCTGGGCAACTTGGTGAGATCTCATCTCTAATCACAAAAACTCGCCGGATGCGGTAGCGTACCTCTGAGGTTCCAGCTACCTGGAAGGCGGAGGCAGAAGGATCACTGGAGCCCAGCAGGTCGAGGCTGCTGGGTGGCCATGAGCGTGCCCCTGCCCTCCAGCCTGGGCGACAAGAGTGAGACTCCCACTCAAAAAACAACAACATTAAAAAGTTTTATGGACCACCCCCTACTCCTACTCTCCAGAAGTTACTGTTAAAAGTAAATTATTCTTTCAAGAAGTTTTGGCTCAAGTCTGTAATCCCAGCAGTTTGGGAAGCAGAAGTGAGAGGACTGCCTGAGCCCAGGAGTTCGTGATCAGCTTGGGAAACCTGAGGAGACCTCGTCTCTACAGTCAATCAAAAAAATTAGCCAGGCATGGTTGTATGTGCACGCCCGCAGTTCCAGCTACTTGGAAGGATGAGGTGGAAGGATCACCGGAGCCCAGCAGGTCAAGGCTGTGGTGGTCATGAGTGTGCCACTGCAGTCCAGCCTGGGTGAAAGAGTGAGACTCTAACTCAAAAAAAAAAAAAAAATGGCCGGGCGTGGTGGCTTAAGTTTGTAATCCCAGTACTCTGGGAGGCCGAGGCAAGAGGATTGCCTGAGCCCAGGGGTTTGAGACCAGCCCGGGCAACAAGACCTCATCTCTACAATAAATCAAAAAATTAGCCAGGCATGGTAGCACACACCTGTAGTTCGGCTACTTGGAAGGCTGAGGTGGAAGGATCACCTGAACCAAGCAGGTCGAGGCTGCAGTGGCCATGAGCATGCCACGGCACTCCAGCCTGGGCGTCAGAGACTCCAACCCAAAAATAAAAATAAAAAAGAAGTTTTCAACACACACATAAGCAATCGTAGAAAAGCAGGCTTACTAAATACACAGCAAGAGAGCAGCTGGCAGAACAGTAATAAGGGAGCTGTCCACCCCCTACTTTCCTTCACATGAAAACTATATACACATATTTCATTTAACTTGCTGTGCAGTCGCAATTGTGAAATGGTGATAATTCCTAACTGCATAGAGTTGATATAAACATTAAATAAATTACTATAAAATATACGAAGCCTGAAATCACATGTATTATTATTACTGCTGGAAGGTAAATTCTTTTTTTTTTTTTTTTTTTTTGAGTTGGAGTCTCACTCTGTCACCCAGACTGGAGTGCAGTGGCCGCTCCCGGCCATCGCAGCCTCGACCTGCTGGGCTCCGGCGATCCTTCCACCCCAGCCTTACAAGTAGCTGGAACTACAGGAGCGTGCTACCACGCCCGGGTAGTTTTTGATTTGTTGTAGAGATGAGGTCTCACCAAGTTGCCCAGGCGGGTCTCGAACCCTCGGGCTCAGGCAATCCACTCACCTCGGCCTCCCAAAGTGGTGGGATTACAGGCTGAGCCACCGAGCCCAGCCGGAAGGTAAATTCTTACCATTAGGATTACTGAATCTGGGGATGTATAGATTTTAAATTTTGATAGATACTGTCAAATTTCTCTCCAAAGAGATTGTACCAATTTATACTACCACCAACAGTATATGTATCTATTTTCTTACATTATGTCAATGACAGTTATTACACAAATTTTTAATCCTTGACAGTCCAATAGATTTTCCAGGTTAATACAAAACACTAATTTCTAAAACACAAAATCAGTAACATAGCCAGCTGAAGTCCCTTACTTGAACGGTGAGTAAGGTGAGATGGTGAGATGACATTCAAGGCTAGGACCATCGTAAAGAGATGATTTGTAAGGAAAGCTGTGTCCTGGACCTACACCCGGGCCTCACCGCCACTCCAGCATCCATGCGTCTACCTTCCCCTCCATGCTTATGCTGACTCCCGTGTACCTCTATGACTTTACTTCCCATCACTCTTGCTTATTCTGATCCAGCCATTACTAGCTGCCTTTCTGACCCTCAATCATGAGAACTTTGGATTTTCTTACAAATGAAATAGGAAGCCAAGGAAGCATTCCGAGCAGGAGAGTGAGAACAGACCTACAAGACTTCTCTGGCTGTAAATGCAGTGCAGACTGTAAAGGAACAAGACTGAAAAAAAGGCACGAGGCTTAAAAGCTATTATATTAGTGCAGGCAAGAGATGATGGGAGGGCTGGGTGCAGTGGCTCATGTCTATAATCCCACCACTTTGGGAGGCCGAGGCGAGTGGATTGCCTGAGTCCGCGGGTTGGAGACCCGCCCAGGCAACTTGGTGAGACCTCATCTCTACAATAAATCAAAAATGAGCCGGGTGTGGTAGCACACGCCTGTAGTTCCAGCTACTTGGAAGACTGAGGCGGAAGGATCGCCGGAGCCCAGCAGGTCGAGGCTGCGGTGGCCGGGAGCGGCCACTGCACTCCAGTCTGGGCGACAGAGTGAGACTCCAACTCAAAAAAAAACAACAGATGGTTAGAGGTGTGGACTATGATGGCTGCAGAATCAATGATGACTAGTGTCTGGATATTAAAGGTAAAGCTAACAGGGTTTACTGATGGGCTAGATGTGGAATGAGGAAAGGGGAGGAAATTAAAGTTAACTCCCAAGGTTTGGTGACAGCAACTGGTGAATTTGGAGCCCATTCACAGAAATGGCGACGTTTAGGAAAAAGGGGCATGAATTACAAATTCTACAAAAGTCATGAGGCTTAAAAGCTATTATATTAGTGCAGGCAAAAGATGATGGGAGGGCCGGGTGCAGTTTCTCAGCCTGTAATCCCAGTGCTTTGGGAGGCCGAGGTGAGTGGATTGCCTGAGCCCACGGGTCCGAGACCCGCCTGGGCAGCGAGACCTCATCTCTACAATAAATCAAAAAATCAGCCGGGCGTGGTAGCGCAGGCCTGTAATTCCGGCTACTTGGAAGGTTGAGGCGGAAGGATCACCGGAGCCCAGCAGGTCGAGGTTGTGGTGGCCGGGAGCGGCCACTGCACTCCAGTCTGGGCGACAGAGTGAGACTCCAATTCAAAAAAAAAAAAAAAGAAAGAAGCGACTGCCAGGCGCTACCAGTAATAGCGATTCTGTAAAAAGGAACACAGTTCTAAGAACGTAAAGCCAAATAATCTGACCAGGACTTGGGACAGCGGCCTCAGTGAGCAGAAAATACTCCCTAGTTAAGATCTGAACAACGAAGGAAACACTGTGCAGGCTGAAGAGGAGCATTTGAAAGGGATCCAGGGCAGAACGGAACAGAAAGCCTTCAAGAAACTTAAAAGGCCAACGTGAGCGAAGCATGTAAAGAGAACGAGCCGGCGAGTTGCTGCAGGAGTGGGTCTGACCTCTGCGGGCCCTTGTGGCCTATTTGTCTTGGGTCTCTGGCCGGAAACCTGAAGAGCCAATGGAGAACATAACCGTGTCCTGGCAGGGCTTGCAGGGTGGAGGGGCGGGGGGTGGAGACGACAGCAGGACTTTACAAAAATAATTAGTGTTAGCTGGGTGCAGTGGCTCCCTCCTGTAATCCCAGCACTTTGGGAGGCGGAGGCAAGAGGATTGCCTGAGCCTCCAGGTTCGAGACCCGCCCAGACAACTTGGGGAAACCTCACCTCTACAATAAATCACCCTGAAGAACTCAAATCACTCTATAAAAGAGATACCTGCACACGTATGTTTGTCGCAGCATTGTTCACAACAGCAAGATCATGGAACCAACCATGCCGTCCATCACAAGAGGACCGGATTTTTAAAATGTGGTACATATACACGAGGGAATATTACACAGCCATAAAAAAGAACAAAATCATGAATTTCGCAGCAACCTGGATGGAATTAGAGTCTCTAATACGGAGTGACGTCTCACAGAAACAAAGATCTGAGCATCACGTGTTCTCACTCATAAGTAGACCTTGAGCAACTATCTTAATACTGTGATCAAGGATTGACAGTGGCGGGAAACTATGGGGAGGGGGACAGGGAGGGGAAGGGAGGTGGGATTAACGGCAGTCAGTATCCGTCTGGGGAAAGGGGGACACACCTCGTCAACAAGGGTACCTGCACGAGGAATATCTGTATATACCTAACCCTTAACTGTACCCCACAACTTTAAAATAAAAAATATCTTAACACCCCCCCCCCCGCAAAACAAACAAACAAACAAACAAACATTAACCGGGCGTGGCGGCGCACGCCTGCGGTTCCAGCTACCGGGAAGGCTGAGGCGGAAGGACCGCCGGAGCCCAGCGGATCGAGGCTGCGGCGGCCGGGAGACCCCGACCCAGAAAGAAAAGAAAAGCCAAAGCATCGGCGTGACTGCAGCACGGAAGCTCCCGGAGTCTGAGCCAGAACTCATCCGCGCCAGACCCTCAGGGAAAGGGAAGCCACGACTCCACGCGGGTCGCGCGCGCACCCCGTTGTTGAGGGCCGGGAAGTTTTCTCCTCGGGTAGACGCCAGACTGCGGTCGCGTGTGCTTCTCACCTCGTCAACGACCTCGTCGTCTCCATCTTCGTCTTCGTCGGCGTCTTCATCGTCTTCGTCCCCGCCCTCGACCCCGTCGGCCCCTTCCTCTGCAGCGCGTGGCACCGCGGCGCCCGGCGGCGGCAGAACCCCGGGGCCCACGGCCCGCCGCTTGGGCCTGGACGCCATCTTGCCGCCCACGCTGCGCCTGCGCAGCTTCCGCTCACCTGACCTTCTGGGCCAGCCCATGCTAGTCAAGGGGGCGACGGACCGTGAAGCCCCTCGGCGCTGAGGGGACAGCAACCCCGATACCCCTGCTGCTTTCCGCCGCCGTGACTCTCCTGAGACGCCCAACCACTCAAGGTCCTGTTTTGCTTTTTCTTCCTCCTCCATCTTCCTTTACTCCTTCCAAGGCTTCGTCTCCCCCCTCGCCTAGTGGTTCGACCCACATCCCCGCCGCCCTCCGGTGCGGGCTCCCCGAGAGGAGACGCGCATGCGCGGGCGCCCGGCGTGGTGGCGCGCGCTCCGCGACCCCCGGGGTCTCGGTGCCCGGCGCCCCCGCGGCTCGGCGCGGGTTGTCGACTCCACGGCGGCCCTTCCTGCTGTCCTTGCTCCTGCGGCCTCAGCCCCCGCTTCGCCGGGCCCGCGAGATCCTGGGCCCCCCGACCGGGCGCCGGGCCCTCCGCTTAGCCCGTCGGGGCCTCCCCCGCCCTGCGAGGTAGGTGTCGCTGCCCACGGAACCGACGCCGGCGCCGAGGCCCACGAACGCGCAGGGGCCCATCTGCGGTCCCCAGCGAGCGGCGACCCAGCGGGCCGGGACCCCGCGGGCCGCTGCGGGCTGTGGCCGGGCATCCCTGCAGCCGGGCCACGACGGCACCCGCTCGGCTCTGCACTGGCTCCCCGGCCCCGCTGGCGGCACCGGCTTGTCCGCGATGGAAGGAACCCGAATCCCGGTCCTGCCTGACCCTCGGGAGGCCCTTTCCTGGGCCTAGACGTCTTTTAAGGCAGGCGTGGCAGTCCTGAGAGCTCCAGGGCCGGTGGGGGCAATCTGAAGTAAAGCCCCGAGCCTGTTTGGAGAGAACAGAGTGAAGGAGACTGGCCGGCTAGAGAGGGTACAGCCTTCCCGCCGTCTCTTGTGGCCGAGTGGCAATACTGGCCCAGTGTTGTCAGCTCTTTCCATTTCAAGAGCATCTGACGTTTCTTTAACCGTGCCAAGCAAACGCATCTACCAGTCAGTGTGATCCCACAGGCGACCAGTTTGCATCCTGCTGTAATGACTATGATTCTGGAAGGAAATCGTTAGAGAACACATCAGAGATGAATGGTCCTCCATTTTTTTCCCCCTCGTGTAAAATGAGGGGAGTGGATTGGATATGTTCAGTTCTAAAACAATGGAATCAGCTGCCCTCGTAGTGGGCGGCTGTCACTGAAGAGGTTTAAACAGAAGCGTGGTAACATCTGATTAATGGCTAATCGTGTTTAGGGCACGGTAAAGTCCCCATGAGCCCAGAGTTCCCATGATTGTGTTCTATGAGTTCCATCTTTCCTGAGAGTCTTTTTTTCCTACCAGGCCGTACCGTGGATATTAATGTACTTACACATCAGGGTTCCACCTATGGTAGGGCAGCTTAAAATGGTTCCTTTGGGTCTCACAACTGCAAAGAACATATGCCTGTAACGGATAAGAGCAGAAGCTGTCAAAAAGACCTATCAAAAGGCTAAGATTAGGGCCAGGCACGGTGTCTCATGCCTGTAATCCCAGCAGTTTGGGAGGCCGAGGCCCAGAAGTTCGAGACTACCCTGGGCAACATAACAAGACCTTGTCTCTACAAAAAAAAAAAGTTTTTTTTAAAAGAAGTCTAAGATGCCTGGTGCAGTGGCTCATGCCTGTAAATCCCAGCAATTTGGGAGGTGGAGGCAAGAGGATTGCCTGAGTTCGTGGGTTTGAAACCAGGCGGGGCAGCATGACCAGACCTCGTCTCTACAATAAGTCAAAAAATTTAGCCAAGCGTGGTGGCACCCGCTTGTGGTTCCTTCTACTTGGAAGGCTGAGGCGGAAGGATCGCCGGAGCCCAGCAGGTCGAGACTGCGGTGGCCATGAGCATGCCACTGCACTCCAGACTGGGTGACAAAGTGAGACTCTGACTCAAAAAAAAGTCTAAGATTAGAAAAAAGACTCAGAAAATACCAATATTGATAGAGTTGCACTGAGACATCATGGATAATTTTTTCTCTGTTTCTTTATACTTTTTTTTTTGTATTGTGTTAAGTATATATGACATAAATTTCATCATCTGAACCATTGTTTGTTTTGTTTGTTGTTTTTTTTTTTTTGAGTCAGAATCTCACTCTGTTGCCCAGGCTAGAATGCGATGGCACTCTCATGGCTACCACAGCCTCGACCTACTGGACTCAGGTGATCCTTCCGCCTCAGCCTTCCAAGTAGTAGGAACTACAGGTGTGAATCATGATGCCCAGTTCGTTTTTTGATTTATTGTAGAGAAAAGGTTTTGCCATATTGCTCAGGCTGGTCTCGAACACCTGAACTCAGGCAATCCTCTCACCTCAGCCTCCCAAAGTGCTGGGATTACAGGCATGAACCACTGTGCCCGGCTTGAACCATTCTTAAGTGTACGTACGATTCAGAGACATTAAGTACATTCAGTGTTGTGCAACCATCGCTACCGTCCATCTCAGAACTCTTTTCATCTTGCAAAACTGAAACTCTGTGGGGTTTGTTTGTTTGAGTTGGAGTCTCCCTCTGTCTTCCAGGCTGGAGTGCAGTGGCACGATCACGGCCACCCTAGCATCGACTTGCTAGACTCCGGCAATCCTTCCACCTCAGCCTTCCAAGTAGCCAAAACTACAGATGCGTGCTACCACGCCCAGCTGATTTTTGATTTATTGTAGAGACGAGGTTTTGCCAAGTTGCCCGGACTGGTCTTGAACCCACGGGCTCAGGCATTCCACTCGCCTCGGCCTCCCAAAGTGCTGATATTACAGGCTGAGCCACCAAACCCGGCCGAAACTCTGTACCCATTAAACAACTAACTCCCCAGACTTCCCTCCCACCAGCACCTGGCAACTATCTTTGTACTATTCATCTCTATTAATTTGACTACTAGGAACCTCATATAGTGGAATCATACAGTATTCTTGCATTTGTGACTGATGTCATTTAGCCTAGTATCTTCAAGGTTTACCGATGTTGTAGTATGTGTCAAGATTTCCTTTCCTGTTAAGGCTGGAGAATATTCCATTTTATTTGTATAACATATTTTGTTTACCCATTTATCTGTTGATGGATACTTTGGTTGCTTCTACATTATAGCTATTGGAAATAATGCTGCTTTTTTTTTTCTTTAAGTGTGCCGACTCCTGCTGAGGCTTCAGGCCTGCTTCCTCAGGGAGACCTCTCTCCCCTCTGTGTCAGTTAGGAAATAAGTTCAGCTGCTCCAACCGAGGTCCAAATGAACAATGGCTGCACCATGATGGAACCTGACTTTTCCCTGAGGGGAAAGCGCTGGCTGGAGTGGTGGCTCTGCCGTACAAGGGATCTGTGCTCCTTCTGTCTTGTCTCATTATTCCTAGGCCATCCTCTGCAAGTCCTGAGAAGCTGGCCACCCCATCCACATTCCAGCCACAGAGGGGAAGGGGGTACCAGCATTTTCTTCTAAGGGCAGGACCCACAAGTTGTACACAGCTCTTCATCTTGCATCCTGTTGGCCAGCTTGTGACATCTAGCCACACATTTTTATTTTAGGCATCCATGCACAGTTAATAATATCAGGGGTTCCATTTCTATGAGACAGAGGGAAAAGTAGATATGTAAACAAGGTGTGCCACACTTCCCAGTCCAGATAAGACATGCCAGTTATGAATCCTGAATCTTTTTTCATAAGACTTACCGCATTATGACTTTTTACTAAACTTGTAAAATATCTTCATTTTACCTTCCTGTAATTATCATGATGCAGGGATCATATTGTATTCCTAGTGCCTACACATATTGTATTCCTAGTGCCTACACAGATCAAGAAATATTTGTTGATTTACTGATAGCATCAAACTGGACAAACTGAATCTCAGGTGAGATTCAAAGAATAAAGAGACTTATTTTTAGCATAGTCCCAACCGTTTCAGACTAGCTGTGGACAGATGCTTTTACCGTATTACCTCAATAAGTCCTATCCTCAGTATGAATCCCTGATCGAGTCACTTATTGATCTTGCCATTGCTAAAACCAGCACTCCCACCACAACTCTGATTCAAGCTCTGAGGACTTTCCACATCTGCTGTGGCCTGCAGTGTTTCTGTTCGTCCTTCCCTCTGAATCTGCTAGTGTTTCTAAAGTGTAGATTCCATCACTGGCGCTCCTGGCTTAAACCTTTTTTTTTTTTTTTTTTTGAGCTGGAGTCTCACTCGGTTTCCCAGACTGGAATGCAGTGGCCGCTCCCAGCCATCCCAGCCTCGATCTGCTCCCTTCAAGCGATCCTTCCGCCTCAGCCTTCCAAGTAGCCGGAACTACGGGCATGCGCTACCACGCCCGGCTGAATTTTTGATTTATTGTAGAGATGAGGTCTCGCCAAGTTGCCCAGGTGGGTCTAGAACCCACAGGCTCAGGCAATCCACTCACCTCAGCCTCCCAAAGTGCAGGATTTCTCGTGGTTTTCCTTTTTTTCATGAAATTCAAAGTCTCCTCCACCCGTTGCACTTACCTTTATCTCCTGGGGACACTCAGGGCCCCTTCCTGACACTTGAATACTTTTTTTTTTTTT